TATTTAAGCTAGTCTTTTCTTTTAACTGTTGTTAAAAGCCCCAGTCTGGCTCTAAAAAATTTATTATGGTTGAAAGTCGCTTGTTACATGAAAAACGGAGATTTTTTTTTTGAAGTGGACGACAATAAATTTTTTCGTGTAACGTTTATATTGAATGACACTTGATTTGCAATGTCCCACGACTAATATGTGTAACATCGAGTTGTCCCCCCCACTTATTTACTTACCCTAGGTATTACCAAGTATTTCAGGGTTCAAAATTTAGTCACCACAAATATAATGCAATTACAGTCAACCCCCTCTAAGTGCACCCCCCTCGGGAATGAATGATAGCGTGCACTTAGAGAAACAAAGCATTTCATTGGTTGCACGTGATACCAATAAGAATAAAAAATTTTTTTAAAATTTATTAACATATTTATTATAATTAATCAATTACAACGTTATGTTATTATCACCAAAAAAAAAAAATTTATATAATTATTGATTAAGATAAGATTCTAAAGTACTTTCTCTCATTGCATTTATTGTTTTTAAACTAATATATCTATCAAGAGAATTAACCAGTTTCATTTGTTGACTAGAATTTTCTTGTTGTAATAAAAATGTACAGACAATTTCCAAGCTTTTTGAAGCTTCACTAGTACTTATCAATACTTGCTTGACACTATCATCTTCTTCATCTTCAAATCATTGGTATCTATTTCTGGTTGCTGTTTATACATTTCCACAAGAGCCTCAATAATATTATTATCATCAGGGACTTCATATACAGAATTTTCTTCTGGATTATTCAAATATTCTTGAATAGGTATTGCATCATTTAGATTGAGAGCAGCAACTGCCTGAGAAACTTGGTTTGTTGTTGGATCATTAATATCATCAGAGAAATTGGACAAATTAACATTAATTCGGTCTGGAAGAATTTTAGTATGATGCCAGCAATTATAAATGGTTTGTGATGATACTTCCTTCCAACTTTTAATAATAAATTTTATTGCCTGTAATACATCCATTTTTAAAATTTTTATATCATTTCCTGCTTCAACTTGATTTAGAATCCAGTTAATATGTAAATGGCAATAGTGTCTTTTAAAAGACATAATGATACCAGCATCCATTGACTGGATTTTTGAAGTAGTGTTTGGGGGGAGAAAATGGACATCAACATTTGAAAGAACCAAACCATCTATTTTGTGACTTGGACAATTATCAAGAAGCAATAATACATGCTGGTTGCCATATTTTGAAGCAATCTCTCTGTTGAATCCTTGGAGCCAACAGTGGATAACATCCAAGCCTTTGTATTGTGACAATATGTCATTGATAAGTTACTAAGGTCAACATTAATAAAGCATTGTGGTTTTTTAAATTTTCCAATTATTAATGGATCCAATTTATGTGATCCATCTGAATTAGCACATAAGGCAATTGAAAGTCTTTCTTTATTCTTTTTACATCCAGAAAGTCTTTGTGTGGCTAATGTTCTATCTGGTTCTAATCTATAAAAAAGACCTGTTTCATCCATGTTGTATATTCTTTCAGGTGGATAACTACTACACATATTTTTCAATAATGGTAAGGCTTCAGTAATTGCATTTATATCAGCTGATGATGCCTCTCCTTGAAGCTTTTGTACTTGAATCCCATTCCGTTTTTTAAATCTACAGTCAGTGCTCGATATAGTGAAGCTTTGGCTAGTACAAATTTGGAACTACACTAACCGGACAAAAGTTTGTGAACGATGTTTTTTGTTAAATACGCAAAATACTACATAATAACAACACATAAAATTTTAATATTATACGGCCTAGGTTCTTGTTCGTTTTCGTATAAAATTTGATGTTTTTTGTATTTCTAGTACTTTATTAATTAAAAAAAACCGAAAGTTGATTAAATTTTAAAATGTTTACAGTATTTTCATGATTTTTCAAAAATTTTTATAATAAAAATATTTAAAATTATATCATATAAAAGTTATGGTTTTGGAGAATGAACTGTATGATTTTAAATACTTTAACGCATCTAGATTTTATTTCTTTTGTTATTTTTTTTTCTAGATCTAAATCGTGATCTGCAAAAAAATTTTATTAAAATCATAAAAATGCCAAAATATGTAGAACTGACTGAACTTGACTGTGGAAAAGTTTTGGGTCTTCATCTATCTGGAAATATGTTAAAAATTGGATGGTAAAGAAAAAAATAAATATTTTGGCTGATTGGCCCTCTCAATCACCAGATCTTAATCTAATTGAACATCTCTGGGGTGAACTTGAGAGGAGGCTAAAAAAACGTGCAGTGCATCCAAAAAATAAATCGGAATTGGAAGTTGCGGTGAAAGAAGAATGGTTAAAAATACCTTACGAAACTTTAGAAAAACTCATTGAAAGCATGCCAAGAAGAATTGAGTCATGTATTTCTAATGATGGGTGGCCCACTAGATATTAGTCAATTTTTTTCAATTTTAACTTTTTGAAGATCTTTTCAAAAAAAAAGTATTTCGTTTTTTTTTTATTAATAAAGTACTAGAAATACAAAATATCAAATTTTATACAAAAACGAACAAGAACCTAGGCTGTATAATATTAAAATTTTATGTGTTGTTATTATGTAGTATTTTGCGTAATTAACAAAAAACATCGTTCACAAACTTTTGTCTGGGTAGTGTATTTCCATATCCACTTCAATGGTTGAACAATCTCTGAGAAATTGTGAGAAAACTTCACGGTATAAAACAACAGGTTGTCCAATATAATCTAAATCTGGTGGGCGATGACATTGTATATTGGCATTCCTTTGATGTTTTGGGAATACTCTATGTACAGCAGCAACAGAAGGAGAATCGACCAAATGAATGTGTTCAAAAGTAAATAATCATTTCTTCCTCATTGTGACAACATCTCCAACCAACTCACGCTTGACTCCAGTAGTAACTGCAATAGAATGATAGAGTAACAAAAATAACCAATGAAGTTTTGTTTGCATTTTTATAAATGTAAAATATTTGACATAAAATTTGACCTTACCTGTCTCTTCAATTGATCCTTCATATATAAAAGATGGACAAATTAATTCAGGATAAATGTGCAGAATGTTTATTTAAAACAAAATAATGGTAAATAAATAAACGAAATGGAATGAAATGGAAAATAATTTTTTGTATATTGGTGATTTGCCTATGAATTAGTGAAATGTATAACCCAACATTTACATTCGAGATCTTTACCTTCAATGCCTTTAAATCTTCTTCTTAGTTGCTTCACCTCCAGCTCCAACTCCTCTGCCTTCTTCTTCCAACTCTAAAGAGCATGATTGTTTGTGCAGAAGATAATTATATATAAAAATTATTTTATGTTGAATTAGTGTTTACAATATTGAATACTAAAATAATATTTTATTGAAATAAATGTTGGCTCGGTCTAAAGACCTCCTATTGCTGCGCCACGTGTACAAATTTCAAAAATAGCGATTTCGTGATTCGTTCAAAAATGCAATAAAAATTTTTTAAAAAAAAGGATTTTCACGTGATTTTGGTTAAAAAATTATTTTCCTTACTGCCAAATTTAGATATGATGGTCGAGTATTAGTCTAAATTTAGTAAAGATGATCAAAAAATAGTCTAAATTTAGCAATGATCTTAGTGGACAAATTCCTTGCAAGCATAGTAAAGTACATGTTTTAAAAAAGAATAGAACTCTACAACAAAGGATTTTTTGAGAATATCTCGTTATTACATTAAAAATAAAGACCTATTCTATCAACTAATAATGCTATTTTTTAAAAATGTAGGACAGAAAATGACTTCTATACTTTTAAAATTTGCTCAAAATTTAGGAGGTCTTTAGACCAAGCCAACTATACCATATCATTTTTTTTATTTTCATGTTGTTTTTGGTGTTGTTGTTGTTGCTCAATGTTTTTTTCTTTAATTCTCTGATTATCACCTTCCAAATGGCTTAATTTATTCAACTTTAAACAATTATCTCTATATCTAGATGAAGTCTTCCCATTATCATCTGAAAAACATTCTTGTAACCTTAAATCTTCATTAGCACTATTACTATTACTACTATTAGTACTTAGCATACGATCTTCTCTTTTTTTTCTCCTTCTAATCAAATCAATACTAAGATCAGAGTATAATTCACTAATAAAAAAAAAGTTTATTCTTTAGGCATTATTTTTATAAAAAACTAGAGTGACGACGGGCGGCAGGTGATAACCACCACCACCATCCTTAAAATGCTTACCTCTTCTTTGCACCATACTTATTATCATTGCTTCTTTTTTTATTACTTTGAATTTGATTGTTTGGCATTGTTATATTTTTTTAAAAATAAAAAAAAAAGAAGTTTGTTGTTTGATTGATGCATGCACACTAATTATTTATCCTATTGGTTTTTTTTTGGTAGGACAGACGCAAATTGTTTTTTTTTTCTTTCTTGAAAAAACAATTTATTTTTGACAGAGTCCAAGGTGACAAAACGTGAGTGTTGTTGTTTGGTTTGGTTTGGTTTGGTTTCCTAAAGAGTAGGTGTTAATAACTAACAGAGGTACTATTTTTTACTTGTATTGATATAGTGTGAGGTGTCTTTTATTTTGGTTTATAAATATTTTAATTGGAAATCAAAACGTGGAGCAGATCTTGCTGGGTAATTACAGGATTTTCATTGATATTAATAATATTTTGCTTTTTGTAATTATAATAATAATATTATAAATATTATAATTACAAGATGTCAAGGCAGCATTGACTGTTGAAAAAGAAACAATTCAAATATGCGATGTTGATTACAGGAAAATAATAGGCGTGAAGCACATGCACTACCTTGAACACTTTACAGTCATTCTCTCACGTTCCTCATGTACATAAGGCTAATCTGACTTGTGCCTGATGATACAATGATGCACTGAATTCCAGGGAGGGGGAAAGATGTCCTGAAGTTTACTGAGATTGCATCAATTGTCAATGACACTTTCAATCTTCCCAGACCAGAGATGGCTGCTGGCATGCTGGCCAAAAAGGATGGCACTATGACCAAGTTGCAACTCTGCTGATGAATATTAAGAGAATCTGCAGCTTGTTTCAATCACAGTATGCAATTCAGAGCAGGGTTTGTAGCCCTGAAATTGCATTTGGACTCTGATGTTAAGAGGAAAGTTGTAAAATAGTGTTCGTTTTGTATAATCACTTTCCTAAATGCTCTACTAACTAACCAACTTAATAATTTTGGGTAAGAAATTGGATGAGGTTTTTGCCCAACCAGTCCTTTGTCTTGTAAATTAAAATTATCACATGATTATATACATCTTTGTCAACAATATGGCCAACAAGAAAAAAGTTATAAAATGGTTTGGATTTTGTTTGGTATGTTATGTTATAAATTAATCATTTTCCCAAATTTTCTGCTTCTCTTTAATTTTTGTTTGACCAACTGAACTTGTTATTTTAATAAATGGGGGTAGGGTCAGTGTATAAAATTTGCCGAACAATTTTTGTGCATGTTGTACAAAATTTTTTGAGGAATTGTGCAAAAGTTGTTTAAAAATTGTGCATGTATGGACAAAAAATTGTAAGTAGTTTAGTTTTTTTGATTTTTTTTGTGCATTATACATAGAAAATGTAATAATGCAAAAATTTTTCATTGAATTTGTGCACTATATTTAAAATTTTTGTTGAGAGTCTGCACAAAAATATTTATTTCATTATGCACAGTTTAAGGGGGTTGTGCACTGTGCACACTGTGCACATGAATTTTATACACTGGGTAGGGTTGTTGGTGAGTAGGCATGCCACTGACAAGACAGGGGACGCCTTTGAGGTATGCCAGCCAAACTCATAGAAAGGTATCCTTTATCCAGACTTAGGGCCACATGGATGTTAAGCACAGAAAATGTACACTATCAATGTATATTTGTTTCAACTATACATGCAGCCCAAAGTATTTTGACACTGTCATAAAGGGGGTTACAGATGTAGTAAAGGGGTGTTACACTTATGTTTTAATAGTAAATGCCATAATTAATTTCTACTTTCTACCATCAAAATTGGAATAATTTTGACCATCAAAATCACCAAACCAATTTGGGCTGCATGTATAGTTTCAACAAATAAACATTTAAATAATTAATTGTTAAATATTAATACTTTTCTTTTCATAAAAATTACAGCAACCCAGGACTCAAAACTCTGAATTCAGGGAGAATCCAAAACAATAACCTGTGTTGTGACCTCCTGAGTTGCTGAACTTTCAAACCAGTTGCAAGTGCCAACTTTGTACTGGAGGTGCAATAACACAATCATCCACACAGGCACCAGCTATCAGCAATAAATGCCAATATGGTGACAGCCAGCCTGGTCTGATAGGGAGATAGGGAATGTTTTGTCCAAAGCCTTTGAGCATGTTTAAGTCTACTTCACCTGTGGAAAAAATTCCATGGTGCTGAATTGTGTTTAGTTGCACTGTCTTGCATGTTTGCGATAGGAAATTTTAATTAAATCTGACACATGCAATCAACATCAGATTTATTATTCATAAGGAACCATGATTGATAATCATGAAGAAAAATTTATTTTGTGAATCCCAGAGATCTGGGTAGACATGCATTATTAAAAGTTTTCATTTTCTGCATGACCTTGGTAGTATTTATTACTTGGGTGATGCAATTATTTGTTATGTCAATTACAACATAAAATGTATTGGATAATCAGGTATTCATGTACAAGTATTAGTAACAACCAAAAAGCTAAGTCATGTCTATTTTTTATCTATATAAATAGAGTAGAGTAGCAAGCAATAGGTTAATAATCACCACCACCTTTTTAATATACAAAAAAAAATAACTACAAATATTATTTAATTCTAAGCAAATTTTTATTATTTTTATATGGGGTCAGTTCTATATATCACTCAAGATAGAAAATGGGATATTATAAAACTGTTAATTATAACCACATTACAAATGACTAAATTTTGAACCCTGAAATACTTGGTAATACCAATATTCACTTTGTCTGGTTTTGTTGCAGTATGCCCCATATTTCTATATATTTATTTGATAATTTACTTTTTGGAGAGTAAAAATTGCAGGCTATGGCGCGCAGTGTCTGAAATTGAGTGCGGGGGTTTGTGTTACATATTGAATTTAGCCAATCAACGTTAAATTTTCTACCAGAAGGACAAATTTGATTGGCTAAATTCAATATGTAACACAAACCCCCGCACTCAATTTCAGACACTGATGGCGCGTCTTTAAATGAGCTGCACCATAATAATGATTGCACATCGTTTGACTAATAAGATTCATTGACAAAGTTTAAAGGAATAAATGAAACAATAATAAGAGCACATACTTTTGTAATGTAATTAGTTCATGAAAAAAAAAAGAGATATCATTCTCGTTTTTAAATACAATTGCAGTATAATTAACCCCTCTAGTTTATGGGCACAGTGAGCCTTTTTATTTTTATTATAATAAAAATGAATTTTATTATTATGTATTGAGCAAAGACTGCTACAATTGACCATTTTTAAAAACACTATTCAAACATGGGATGACATCTCACCTTTTTATGGACTAGTACTAATACTAATTACATTTCAAAAAGATTTTAAATTTACATTATTTTGATTTAGAGTTTTTTTTTTGAAACCGGTTTTACCAAACGAAATTTTTTTTAATATAGTTACACGACATAAGATCGATGAATGTAATTCTTTGATCATTCAATTGGTTCGATTTATTCTGCAAAGATTACTTGCTGCCAAAATTATAGGCATAATATTAATAATTACCTATTTAAATTCCTTTTTAATTCTTACATTTTACTTTATTAAAAAAATGTCTTTACCTTCTGAAGTTGAAATTAAATCACTTAAAGAAAAATATACTGCTGCAGGACAAGTTCATCTTTTTACTTTTTATGATGAACTTGAACCTGATCAAAAAATTTCATTATACAATCAACTTTCTAAACTTGATGTCGACCGTGTGAACAAAATTTTTAAAAAGTCAATTTCCGTTTCAGAAAATACTTTGGAACAACAAAATTTGGAACCTTTACCTGATAATGTATTTGATTCGACTATAGATTCTGACGAGGTTAAAGTGAAGGAATGGAGGGAAGTGGGGTTAAAAAATATAGCTCAAAATCGAGTTGCAGTGATTTTAATGGCTGGTGGTCAAGGAACTAGGCTAGGGTCTACAGCACCAAAAGGATGTTACGATATTCACTTACCTTCAAGCAAATCATTATTTCAACTTCAAGCAGAACGTATTTTAAGATTGCAAAAACTTGCACAAGAAACAGTAAATGTTCCTGAATCAGTATTTATTCCATGGTATGTGATGACAAGTGGCCCAACAAGATTATCAACAGAAGCTTTTTTTAAAGATCATAATTACTTTGGATTGAAAAAAGAAAATGTAATCTTTTTTGAACAAGGTAATGATAATTTATTATTATAAAATTAATTTTTATATATATATCTATTTTAAATTATAATATTTATTTATTTATTAATTTAGGAACTCTTCCTGCATTTACTAATGACGGTAAAATATTTTTGGAAACCAAATCCAAAGTAAGTATTTATATTATATATAATGTTTTTAATAATTAATAATAATTTATATATTACGTGGAAATTTTAATAATTAACTTTATTCCAATTAATTAATCAATCAATCAGATTGCTATTGCACCTGATGGTAATGGTGGTATATATGCTGCTTTAAGAAATGAAAAGGTTCTTGATTCATTAAAATCCCGTAATATTAAATACGCACATGCATATTGTGTTGATAATTGTCTAGTCCGTGTTGCTGATCCAGTATTCATTGGTTATTGCATTTCAAATAATGCTGATTGCGGAGCAAAATGTGTTCGTAAATCTTCACCAGAAGAACCTGTTGGTGTTATTGCACTTCGTAATAAAAAATTCAATGTGATAGAATATAGTGAAATTGATTCAGCAGTTGCCGCCAAAACCAAACCAGATGGAAAACTTTTATATGGTGCAGCTAATATAGCAAATCATTTTTACACAGTGGATTTTCTTGATAAAGTAGAATCTTTTGAGGATGGGCTTGAATATCATATAGCTAAAAAGAAAATTAAGCATGTTGATCTTAAGACTGGGGATACCGTGTCACCATCCAAACCAAATGGAATGAAACTTGAGTTGTTTGTTTTTGATGTTTTTCCTTTTACAGAACGTATGGCTGTTTTAGAGGTTGACAGAAAAGAAGAATTCTCGCCTCTTAAAAATGCACCAGGTACTGGCGCTGATGATCCAGATACTAGTAGAAGAGACATTATCAATCAACACGTGAGATTTGTTGAAAATGCTGGTGGCAAAGTAATCAAAGGTGACGCAGATTCGTCATTTACTTTTGAAATTTCGCCATTAGTTTCTTATGCTGGTGAAGGTTTAGACTCATTAAAAGGAAAAACAATCAAGACACCAGTTACTATTGAAAAACCAGAAGATTTGAATAAATTTTAATATAATTTTAGAAGTAATTTAAATATTATTTTTTTTTTTTACACTAGTTTTTTAAATTATTAAATTAAATAAATGTTAAATTAAGTAAATTTTATAATTATTAAAGTTAATTATTAACCTCTTTTTTAAGAATACCATATTATTCATTTTTCAACGCATTAATAATGAATGATTTTTTATAAATAGTTATAATCTTTTTGTTTTTTTAAATCTTTCTCTAAAATTTTAATTTCTCTGAAATGTATGGGCAAGCACATCTACATTTCTAAAGAATACTTGATCAATTGATATTGGGTTGATTAGAATTTCTTTTCTTTTTCAACACATTTATAGAATCTCTAAATTTAATAGGTTATAAATTTCAAAGAAAACCTAAAAGACAAGTGCACAACACCCTTTGTCTATATTAATTAATATGGAAATAATTATAAAAAATTTCTTGTAAATTTTATTTTGTATGTCTTTTTATCATCGCCAAGTTCAAAGTGTTTACATCTTTTAAGTGCTATTTGATGTTTATTCTTTAAAATTTTCTATTTGAACAAATATCATTTTTTCAAAATGCAAAATAATCAACACGATGAGATGAATAGTTTATAGTCATAGTTATTAGTTATAGCTACCTTACAACTCTGACATTCTAAACGAAGTACAATCTTCCTTGTTGTTTTGACAAAGTTTCCAAAAAAAAAAATAATAATACAAATTATAAACTTCTTCCCACTATTTACTTCGCTTTTCTCCTCGTAATTAAATTGCTTTCTTACCATTACTCACTCATACTTTCACCTTTTACCTAAAAATAAAAATAAATTAATTATTTTTTGCGGAATAGCTATGATTGATATAATTGATAATTAAATAATATATTCTTATACCTTGAGCATACAAAGAATCTTTTCCTTTTCTGTATTGAGAAGCTTTATGATGCGTATGCTTTCGAAAATTCTAATTTTTGAAACATAGAAAACGAATATGAATTAATCCAATTTAATCTAGATTTGGTAGTGCAAAAATCGAAATTATTTTTTTAAAACGCGAACGATAAAATTATTAATTATCATATTAATATTTTTATTTTTTTTTTAAAATCTATAAACTATCCTCTCCCTTTTTTACAAAATTTTTACTTATATATATATACATGCAAAAATATTAAATTATAAAAATACTCTAATCAATTAATTAATAATTATTATATAAATTCAATAATATTGTATTTTTCATCGTCATCTAATAACGATTTCTTTCTATTTCTATTATTATTATTATTATTATCATTATTTATATCTCCCAATTCAAGTTCTTTTGTTGATTTAGTTGTAATAGTTAAAAATAATTTGTCTCCTGTTGTATCACCTGGTAATATTACTACTGTAATATCATTATTATTATCTACACTATTATTATTATTATTATCAATGTTGTTGATTGGAAAACTTTCGGTAGTATTACTTCTAAAAGATGATCTCGACTTCAAAGCATCTGGAGCAACATAATAACAAGGTAGAAATAAGGTTGCTCTTTTGGTTGTACCAAATAAAAGAAATATTATTATTCCTCTATTTTTTTTTAAAAAAAACAAAAACTTGATTAATCACAATTTTTTTATAAAAAAATAAAAAAAGAAGCTAAAAGTCACGACACGTACAATGTAGAATTAAATAAAGTACTACTTGAATGTAATAGTATATCACCCTCATCGTATTTGGTTACTTTTTTTTCGAGGAGCTTCATTATAGAACCAACTATTAATAATAGTGTATAAATGGTTGTGAAGCAGTAGACACGTGTTGCGTGTCCTAGTTTTATTGCTGTCACGCGATTTTGGTTACTATTAAAGATTCTCCATTTTTTCCATAATATTATCCCAGAATGGACTAGTAATTATGATGGTGATGGTGACGACGGCGAAAAAGATAGCATTAATTTATGTATAATATAGAGTATTAGTTATTTCAATAATTTATCCGACAATTTTAATAACTTACATTTTTTTTCGAGGAGCTTCATTATAGAACCAACTATTAATAATAGTGTATAAATGGTTGTGAAGCAGTAGACACGTGTTGCGTGTCCTAGTTTTATTGCTGTCACGCGATTTTGGTTACTATTAAAGATTCTCCATTTTTTCCATAATATTATCCCAGAATGGACTAGTAATTATGATGGTGATGGTGACGACGGCGAAAAAGATAGCATTAATTTATGTATAATATAGAGTATTAGTTATTTCAATAATTTATCCGACAATTTTAATAACTTACATGTAACCACGGTACTGAAAATTAATAAAATAGTAGTTGGTATTAGATAACCATAAAATTGAAGATCATCAGAAGTAGAGGCACAAGTTAAAGAAGTAGGGACACTTCCCCAATTCTCTTCACTGCTGGTATGAGCAATTGTGAACACGTTATAAAAAACTGAATAACTCCAAATTATGACTGAAAAATATAATGAACACTTTTTCTCTATCTCGGTATTTCCTTTAGTCAGCGCATACCAAAGATAAAATAAAAGGGTAAATGAGAAAAATTGTAAAGAGATTAGGGAAAATAATGCCAATTTTTGTTGCAACACACATAAAACTATTGAATAATTGAGGATGTTGGTTATATCGTTTCCGTATATTAGTACTGCAGGTAGTTTTATTGCTCCATTGAATAACGCTAATGCGTAAATTTGAAATAATGTCCATTTTGTAAAATACGGTTTTGATCTTAGTGCTGATATTATTAGTATCATCAAGAGAGATATGCTTAATAACTGTAATGTGATAAATGTGATTTTATCTGTTGAATATTCTGGCATGATAAATTAATTGTTGATAAATGAATGTGCATAGGTAAATGATAGATATTTTATTTTATTTATTTTGTTTCAAAAATTTTTTTAAAAAACAGAACAAGAATAATTTTAAAATTTTTAATTTTAAAACAAAAAAAACACGATTTTATATTTTGTTGTTAGTTGCACCAATTAAATGAATTTAATAAAATTTCTATTTCTGGTTATTTAATTCGAATATTCGTCATCTATTATATAGAATAAATATTTTAAAACAAAACGGATTTTGGGTTTATTTATAATGAGAATTAATATACGAGCTTTATATATGTTACCAACTAAGGTTGCAATATTATGTTACCTAATTTCATTATAATCTTCATCCTTATTTATTGTTTATTATTATTAATATCTATCTCTTCGCTTCCGATATATATGGTATACATAATATAAATAATACTACGCATTCGCAGAAAATATTCCAGAACATCTTAAAATGTAACATCTTGCTCGATAACAGACCAAATTCAAAAGTTTCAGATTTATTTTAAGAAATACGGAAATTGCATCACAATTTATTATTTATATTAATGTTATTCTGATATTAAAAATCGTGTTGGAAAATCTAATAATAGTATTAACCATTTTAATTAGTATCTATGAGTTAATGACAACCATCAATCCAATCATCTAAATCTTGAACCAAACGATCGGTATTGTAAAACATTAGTGCCACATTGTCGAGTTTTTTCTCATTTTATTATTATTATTATTATTATTGTGTTAAATAACCGAGGTTTCTCGAAAAAGAAACGGCTATTTCATTTGAATGACAATTACGATTTACTAATTATAGTCTTTTTTGAAAATATTGGTTTGAAAAAAAGAACCATTTAACAATTGGACCATCTATATATTTCAAATAAGGGTTAGAACATAAAATAAAATAAAATTGTAATAAAAATTATGTCAATGTAATAATACTCCCCTAAAAAAAAAGTATATAATCAGCAAAAATAGTTGCATAGTAAATATAAATAATCACTCTAAAATATCACATTGGACTGATTGTTATTATTATTAATTTTTTAGAAAAAGTTGAACTTGGAGTTATTTTAAGATATCATGCTTTAACACATCTTGAGAACTTAGAAACGTTGTTCCATTGGTTCCTCAAATATATACATATAAAATTTCATGATTATTTGTCAAATGTTCATGGAGAATTAATATTAATAAAACGTAATAAAGAATTTTTATGCAATGTGATTATAATTATGCATGAACAAACCTTAAACAATAATTGCGGCTGAAATGTCTAACCAAAACTTGTTTTTGTTTTTATTGAACTTTCAATTTGTTATTTTAATTAACGGACTCTGGACAAGGAAGAATAATTGGATATTAGGAAGCAGGCGAAAACACTCGTGACATTGCTGGTGCACTCAATCATTCTCAGTCACAGGTAACTCGTGCAATAAAAGCATTTAAGTCCAAGCTACTATTTCTCCCCCAAAAACACAAATGATTTAGTTTCTTATTTAATGTAGACAGCATGCCTTGAAGGGTTCAAGCTGAAAGGAAATATTGAATAAATGAATGAAATATTTATAATTTTTGATTCTTTTGATGTAAATTCAATAAAGATTTGACGTAAAATATTATACAAATTGTGAATTAAAAATTTTACGTTTTCTATTAATATTAATTCTCATGAAAATTTATATGCACAGTACATATTTGAGGACTAATGGAACAACATTTTCTAAATTCTCAGGATGTGTCAAACCATGTTATCTTAAAATTACTTTTTCTAAAAAAATTTTTAATTTGTCCTTTAATCATCAGTCCAACGTGATATTTTGGAGTGTTATACAAATCCATTACTTAAACATTAAGGGTGGAACCGTTTACTTGAAATTTTAATTTTCAATTCTTGGGGATGCTATAGAAATGCCGGTAATTGTCCTATTTCTTGGCAAAGATTTTAATAATGCTTAGTATTAGCGTTAAAAAATCAAGTGATCCAAATATTTAGTACAAACTCGCATTTGTACAATTCAAACCGGAAAAGTTGACGAACTTATCTTAGAAGCCTTCATCTTCAAATTGAATCACGCATTAAATAGGAAACTTAATGTAGTTTTCATCCATCAATAATCGAAAATTTATATACTTGTTTAAGGAATCATTATCTTCAATTGGAAAGTGTTCATGTTGTGCTGAGCAATCGAGTCATATTTATTCAATGATTACTAAATTAGAATGTTTACCCTTATTAAATTAGTTTAAAAGGAAGAAAGTAATAAGTTAAAATATTGATGTCATGTCGGATAGACAAGGAAATCTTTCTTCTTTTTGTATTATATAATTTTATAAGAATAATCTTTCATTCTAGAACAAATAATATTAATATTTTCGGAATTAATTGTTCTTTCTATCTCAACCCCCCGAATGATTGTTGGTAACAAGTCTAATTAGCTGAAGAAAAATTCATTTACTATACGTAAATGATTAATGTATTCCTTTTTAATGAAATCCATACATATCATAAACCTCCTGATTTAAAAGTTTAGTGTTTATTCGATCGAATACCAAGTTCCGAAACTTGCATATAGTTGCAAATCAGAAGCTTATAACTTGTCGTTCGTTTTCAAGATGTTGTACAAAGAGGATTTAAATGATCCTTTTGCTATACTTTTCTATATAAAGTTTGGTTGGAACCAACCAGCACATGATTACCTTTTAAATATCATTAACTTTTTTTTGATCACGATATCCGGTTGGTTAAAATTAATGATGGTGCTATTGATCAGATATATTTTATTATTATTACAGTAACAGTTCTATTTATATAGGCTTCCGCAGTAAATGCCACTGGCAGAGCAAAAAAACACCTGTTGATTTGACAAGATTAAATAAAAATAAATATTCTAATTAATAATGATTATTATCTTGCTATGATGAAAGAGTTAACCGAGTTAATTGTAATCTTTGTGAAGGAAGCTACAAATAATGATCAAACTATTTGTGTTGTCGCAACTGTTGTAACAAAGTTGAAATTAAAATAGTAACGACAACAATAATAATGATTATGAAGTTATAATAATCACCGACTGTTTCAAAGCTTGATTTAATTTTCGTGGTAAAAAAAGAATTTTTTTTTTTAATATAATTTATCCATAAAAATTTTTTTTGGGGCCGTAAGCTTATAAAGCTTGTGCCAATAAGCTGATTACTGATAGGCTCGATAAGCTAATAAGCCAATAAGCTTAAGCCAATGGAATCTATTGCTATTTGAATTTCATATGAGCATTACATTAAGAAAAAAGAGAAAAAAAAGGCTACACCGATTTTATTTAATACCACATATGGAATGATCATTTTGTATTGTGGCTCTTGCTTATTGATTTGGATATGTTATTTTTTTTGGAATTGGTAAAGAAAAATCAAAACTTGATTCTATTTTTTTTACTAATTCCATATTTTCATTTTGTATATCAACCTTTTAAATAAAGGTAGGTTAATGTATATGTAATATATATATTTACTAATTAATTAATTAACTAATTAATTAATTTACCTCATCAAGATAATTTCCAAATAACATTGATCTTTCCGATATATGCTTGCTTATATCTTTACTTGACGAATCCTCATCCATATTTGTTGTGTCTGTTATCATTTCTATTAAAATACCTATAAACATATAATTAAAATTATATTTATAAAATATTAAATTCAATAAAAGAAAAAAATAATTTTCTAATGTTCAGATTAATATTCTTACTTGATGCTTCATTGAATTCAACTCCATCCATCAACGTTGACTCTTTTTTAGTTTGATCGTCTATTTCATTAGGTTGTGCTGGTTGATCATATATGCTTGATAATAAAACTTTACTTCTTTTAGAATCGGATATTAATCTTGCTAAATCAATAAGATTCATTCGAACAATTGGTGGTACTACTGTTCTACAGCATGCAACCAAATCTCTTGGTTCATCTGGCATCCTCTCTGATAACGCAAAAAGTAATTCATCCGGCATTACATAACTATATGTAACAATAAGTAAAATATTATTAATAATAATACTAATAATAATTAATCACAATAAATATAATATACACTAACCGGACACTTTCATCCTCTTCTCTAGCAATATGATCTCTCCATGCGTGCAATGCTTTGAATACTTCCATCTATATAAAAAATTTTATTTTATTTTGACTCGAAAAAATCATAATAAATTTTTATTAATATAAATTGTTTTTTATATACCTGTTGAGTATCAAATGTAGTTTTCCATTTAGCAAGCAATCTTTTATAACCATTTGGTCCTTCGCCATTTTCATCGTATCCAAATTTTTCATAGGTCTTTAATGATGTTTCTGAAGATCTTCCCAATTCTACTCTTAATAAATTTAAAGTTTCAGGATCTGATTTATCAATTAAATTATTTCGCATTGTATCATAAATGAATAATAAATAATGTGTATCTGCACGAGCATATTCAAGCATCTCAACCGGAAGAGGCCTAAAATATCATTATAGATTATTGGATGATCTTTTTTATAAATAAATGAAATAGTAGTAATATTTTTTTTTTATAAAAAAAAAAGGTACCTTATACGCCAATCTGCTAATTGATATTGTTTATTAGAATCAACGTTACAATATAATTTAAGTAAATATGCCAATGAATGTTGAGGTAACCCTAGATTCAATTTAATAATAAATAGATTTACATATAAATATATATGTAAAATCATTTCATTCTGATAGCACATATTAAAAGAAAAGTCTATTCAAAGCATTTAATACACGCACCTAATAAAACTGACGCATGATATGTATCAAATAAATTCACTATATATATTGCAAAATCTTTTTGTAACCATAATACATCAAGATCCGATCCATGGAAAATCTAAATATTTTTAAGAGAAAATATTATTTGTAAATTAATAATTACAATTATAATATAATATTATTGATTAATTAAAAAAAAGTTATATTGTATCCTTTCACCTTTACAATATCTGGATTTGTAAAACTCCTGTTTAAAATTTGTAATTCACTTCTCAAGGCCAAAGTATCCACTATAAAATCTTCATCTCTTGTACTAATTTGCATTAGACAAGTAAAACCTTGATATGAACGATATTCATGATGCTATATAATTTAAACCATATATTAAACCTATATACATAAACACAAATATAACTTAATTTATAGTTACTTCAAGATCCACGGCTATTTCTGTTGAATTTTCCAATTTCTCGCACATCGCTAATAAATCTTCTTTAGATTCGACCCAAATACGATTTGTGGTTTCGACAGGCTTAAAAGGTATTGGTGTACTCTTTTCAAACATGCGAGAAGGAAGTTTTAGATGTTTGATTTCATACTCATAAGGATGACGTCTAAAAATAAATATTTATATTATATTATAAGATTCACCATAAAATATAACACTCTTAATTATTAAATATTATTGATTTTACATCATTGTTATATCGTCATCTTCTTTATAAGTCACTAGTGGTACAGTGGCATTTGGTTTTTCCATAAGCTTGGGGATAAAAGGTGAAGCTGAATTATCTACTTTTTTGTTAAATTTTAATTGTGGTCGACTAATATTATTAACGTAAACAATACTGGAACCGGGTTTATCTCTTGACTAAAATATATCCATATATGATTATAAAATTCAAAATTATCAATATTTAGATAATAATATAAATCAAAATCAAAATCACTCAGACAACCTACATTCATAACTTTTGCAACTACTGGCGTGGATTGAACAGATGGAGCAGCAATTTTTTTAGTTCGTCCTGTATATTCATCTAGACAAGAGTTCTACATTAAATTAAATTTTAGCCAATTAAAATCAACCCAGAAAGAAAAGAAAATAACTTAAAATGAAAAGTTAAAGTTATTTATAATAATATGTATAGCTAATATTTAATGTAGTCATAATATAATACTAACTGTTGCATCTATCAAAGAATCTGTTAAAGAAATTATGTCTTTATTCCAACTATCGAATTCATCTATTTCGGTAATTTCGCCAACACCATCAAATCCTGCAAGATCTGCACTTTGAAGCAACTGATTGATTCTGACCAGTACTTTGTCAGCGAGATTATTCAATCTACTGGAAATTCTTGGATCAATAGCTCGATAAAAGGAAAGATCAGCTGTGGGTAGTTCATTGTTTCGTTGTGTGTTAAAATTTAGGAATGATTTGTAAAGTGAAGCTTGAAAATTTTCATAGGTACCACCAAAAAAATCAGGTAAATTGTTGTTTTGATTGTTTCGATCCATTTCTTTTACTACTAAATTTTAAACTTTTTGATACTGATACATCTTGTACCCCATTTTATTTTCTGCAAAAATATATTGGCTAAAATTAATAATCCCTAAATTTTAAATTTTTAATCTCTTTTTTTTAATTTTGCAAACATAAAATGGCATCTCTAATGTTTTCTAGTGCATTAAAACGTCAAATTAATAGTGGTTTAGCTAAAAAGGTATCGAATGAAACCAGTTTTTATTTTTCGAAACAATCTTGATTTTTTTTAATGAATGATTTGAAAAAAGTCAGTTTAAAATACCATTGCTTAGATTACAATTTTTTGTGTATTTATATAATATATATAATACATGTACGGAAATTTTTTTATTACAATTCTAAAAGAATTCTTTTTTGAAATGAATATATTTTTAAAAGTGATTAATTACACAAACATAACTATTGGATAAATTAACATATGTTTAGTTTGCCCGTCCTTTTGCTACAGAAATTTCTAGCATTAAACAACAATCAACACGAACCACTGTTCTTCCAAGTGGACTAACGATAGCCACTGAATCTATCCCATACACACAAACCGCTACTGTAGGTGTGTGGATTGATGCTGGCAGTAGAGCAGAAAGTTCTAAAAATAATGGAGCAGCACATTTTTTAGAACATATGGCATTCAAGGTATGATGGTTGATGATGTTGAATGCTTCTCGGAGGAATTTTATTGAATAAAAAATTTTTTAATGAAACTAAAAAATAAAAAAGGGAACAAATCTACGTAGTCAGAATCAACTTGAACTTTCCATTGAAAATATTGGCGCACACCTTAATGCGTATACATCAAGAGAACAAACTGTATATTATGCTAAAACATTTCAAAAGGATGCTCACGTTGCAGTAGAGATATTATCTGATATTTTACAAAATTCCACTTTGGATGAAGGTGCCATTGAACGAGAACGTGATGTTATTTTGAGAGAACAGGAAGAGGTTGACAAACAATTTGATGAAGTTGTATTTGATCACTTGCACGCTACTGCTTTCCAAGGTATAATTAATTATAATTATTGATTAGTTATAATTATTAAACAATGCAATTGATTTTAACATTTATATCTATTGTATATAGGTCACTCATTGGGACGTACAATTTTGGGACCGAAAGAAAACATACTTTTACTTAAGAAAGATGACCTCGCTAATTATATTAAAAATAATTATACAACTGACCGTATGGTTCTGGTAGGAACTGGTGGAATTGATCATGATGAATTGGTTAAATTGGCAGAAAAACATTTTTCATCACTTCCATCTTCACCAAGCCCTTTGCCTCTCGGTTCTGGTCATGGTGAAAAACCTTCATTTGTTGGTTCTGAAGTTAGAATAAGAAATGATGAATTATCACAAGCACATATAGCACTTGCAGTTGAAAGTGTTGGCTGGAATTCCCCGGATTATTACACTATGTTGGTAACACAAGCAATTATTGGAACTTGGGACAGATCGTTTGGTTCAGCTGCACACACATCATCTCGTCTTTCACATATTATTCACAAACATCAACTTGCCAATTCTTTCCAATCATTTAACACAAGCTATAGCGATACCGGTTTATTTGGAATTTATCTTATATCAGAAAACGTTAAACAATTGGATGATTTGATTCATTTTACTTGTAAGGAATTTTGGAGGTAATAACATAAATATTAGATACATATGATGTATGCAATCTTAAATAATCAATAATAATTATTATAAATATATAGGTTATACACTTCTATTACTGAAGTAGAAGTTGAACGTGCTAAACAACAGCTTAAATCATCGTTACTTTTAAATCTTGATGGAACAACTGCTGTTGCTGAAGATATTGGTCGTCAAATGGTAACAACGGGTAAAAGATTAACACCAAAAGAACTTGAAACAATTATTTCTAAAATTACTGTGGATGATATTCGTCGTGTTGCTGGTGAATATTTATGGGACAAGGATGTTGCAGTAGTCGGACTTGGTCCAGGTTAGTTTGTTACGTAATTTTTTGTAAAAAAAATTATTATACTAGTATTTATATTAATATTTTGATTTTTGGTTTTAATTTATAATTAGTTGAATGTCTTCCAGATTATAATAGGGTGCGTAGTGCCATGTCTACCGAAAGATATTAATCTAAAAATTTTTTGTTTTTTATTTCATAGAGAATTACTTATTCATCATTGCTAGCAGTAATATTTAATAGTAATATTGTACAATTTTTTGATAATAAGATTATTTTTAATAAACAAACAAAGATATATATATATGTGATGATATATCAATATTGTTTTTATAATTTCCTCCGATCATTATTGCAGAATTAACAAAATTGGATTTTTCTATAAAGAATACAAAGGACTGCGCCAACAAAACAGGTCCAGGTTCAAAATTTAGTACCACATCTAAATATTTCTTCCATACTTACAAAACTTGTGCAAATCTATATTCCTTAACAAATAATGCTCCTCTATTTGGTGGTGGTGGTGGTGGTTTTGATAAAACATTATCCTGCTTATTATCAATAATGAAAGGATTTTGTAATAATAGGTGAACCAATCAATCACTTCAACATTGGCTCAACTGTGTCATTTTGAGGCTTTTGGTTGTTTTGACGAAGACTAGAAGAAAGTAAAAATAATTTAATCTTAAAAAAGTATATTATAGAAGATAAATAAACCCATTTCTCTTTTTCATATTAAAAATTAGATAGTAATAGTTAACTCTTTGTTTGTTGGAGTTAAAAATGGAATGTTTATGATCAGGTGTAACCGTAACTTTTGAATTCATATTTTTCCAATATTTATATTATATAGTAGAATTATTATTATTTCACGTTTGAAGTTTATTGTTGAAACTAATATTAATAATTATTTTACCTTCAATGTAAAAATCCAACATATGACGGAAATCTAAAATTTCAATTCCGTGTAACCCTGTTTTCACTTCAAAAAAGGGAACCTTGTTTCACTAAATTCGACGCGTATTATTATTATCATAAAAATTTTTACTGATTGAATAAATGGGGGAGGGTTTTTTTAATTGAAAAAAATGTCCAAAAATTCTCAACGGAAACAATGATATTAAAAAATTTTTGATATGTGAAGTGATAAATAACTGAATCAACAATTAATTTACCATTGTCCGTCCATCAATCATTTTATAATAATAATCTATAAAAAATATGTTTTATATGAAGTTTTGATTTAACCAGCTGTAATACGAACAATCGGATATAAACTACTTTTTTCGCACACAATTTAAATATAGCAAGAGAAACCAATTAATTGAAGGAATTGAAACCATGTAGTGAAGATGCAAAAGGAAAATTAACCTTTTATTTATATTTTATTTAATATATATATATATATGCATTATTTGTTCTAATAATAATAAAAATACTAATTTTTTTTTTACACAAGTAATTTTTTTATAATAGGTAATAATAATAATAAAAATATTCATTTTTTTTTACACAAGCAATTTTTTTATAATAAGTAATAATAATAAAAATACCAATTTTTTTTACACACGAGTAAATTTTTTATAATAAGATTTAACAGATCTCCATTCACTCTGATAGACCTCTTGTGATTTTTGAAATCGATTATTAGTTCGTGGTCTTTTTTCTTGATGTTCATTACCATTATTAATTTCTTCGCATTTTCTTTTGCATTCAATAGATCTATGTTCATTCTGGCATTTTTCTTGTGATTTTTGAAGTTGATTATTAGTTTGAGGTCTTTTTTCTTGATGTCTATTACCATTATTAATTCCTTCGTGTTTTCTTTTGTGTTCAATAGATCTATTATGTTCATTCTGGGATGTTTCTTGTGATTTTTGAAATTGGTTATTATTAGTTTGAGGTCTTTTTTCTTGATGTCTATTACCATTATTAATTCCTTCATGTTTGCTTTTGTGTTCAATAGATCCACTATGTTCATTCTGTGATTTTTGAAGTTGATTATTATTAGTTCGAGGTCTTTTTTCTTGATGTTTATTACCATTGTTAATTCCTTCATGTTTTCTTTTGCGTTCAATAGATCTATGTTCATTCTGAGATGTTTCTTGTGATTTTTGATCTTTGCATTTATCATCATCACCAAATAAAGTCATATCTTTCTTTAAACATACCCAGACCTTGTCATGTTCTGCCACAATTTGTTCAAAAAATGAATTATGTTTGGTATTAAGATGATGCTCCATATTTTTTGGTGAATAAAGATGAGTACGTTTTTCTCCTTCACAATCTAATAACATACATCTAAAAATTGGTGCTTTGATACCCATAACAATTGCAGATTTTACTGTAATAATATTTCCTTCAGGGAAATAAGAAACAAGATTTTTTGCTTCTTTTACTAGCACTGGTACCACTTGCTCTTCTAGATATCTCTCTGAGTAAATAGTGTAGGCATCACCTTGATATATTGGTGGGTCCTTAAAACTACGACAATGTTGGAGAATTGTATAGATATCAACCTGAGAGTATTTAAGAGGGTTACCTATCTCTTTAAGGAATGTTTCAGCAACTTGTTTATTAAGTCCAAGGCGAGGCCATTTTTTTAACAAGTGTTTCAAGATAAGTTCCTGTCTATGTGGCTTTTCTGCTTCATAGATTATTTGATTTTTTAATCTTTTCCAGTACTGTTTTGGAGGTTGTTTATCAACCTCAGCAAAATGGAAGATTGCTCTTTTGTACGAAGTGAAATGAGTTTGAATATAATGAGATTTGTAGTTTAATGATAATTTCCCCTCCTCAAGAATTTTACCAACAAGTTTGTTGATTTTTTTGATAAATCTTTTTGATTTTTTCATATATAAGCTGCATTCTTTATTGCGATCATCACATTCTTCCAAGAATTTTGTTTGAACCTCAAGCATTTTTTTACTTTCCTCATCATAAGTATTAAGAGGTTTTAGTCCATATTTACCAACATAAGAATGTCTCTCAATAATATCTTTTTCCCAGAACTGTTTAAGAGGCCTGTGTCCAGTAACCTTCATTCCATATTTCTGAAATGAATAAGGTAATCCTGCAAAGAAATCATTACCTCTAATAGTCTTTTCTCTGAAATTGTTAAATAAATAAATGAATAAATATGATTATTTAATCAATTAAACTTTATATAATTACTTACTCAATTATGGTGGTTCTTGCACAGTAACATCTAGTGCAGCATCTTACATGAAACTGCCAATGTATTTCAGTTGATTTAATAATACCACAAAACATGCAGGATCTAGGTGAAGCAAGGAAGAATCTAATGTATTGCAATTCATTCCAGCTTGGTGGTGGTGGTCGTTGCAGTCCTTTAAAATAAGCCATTCTTGCTTTTTTCCAAATTTTTTGGGATCCATCACATTTATCCATTAAGATAAAGTGGAATCTTGAACAAGTTTGTACCAGTGCCAACAAATCAGATGGTGGTAGATCTTCACAAATCTGGGAGAATACATCAAGAGGAATATCTGGGAAAATTGCTAATTGTTTTCTCCTGATTGGATATTTGCAAGATTCATCACCATATTTATCTATAAATTTTTTATCAATCTTGGTATATTCGTCAACATTTAAGCTATATTTTGGTGGTAAAAAATGTGATTTTCTAATATGATAATAAATAAATAAATAAATAAATAAATAAATAAATAAATAAATAAATAAATAAATAAATAAATAAGTAAATAAATAAATAATAGGGCTTTTTTTAAAAAAAATAAACATACTCTCTATAATGATCCTGATTAGCACCATAATAAGTTCTTAACGTATCATATTGGAGACAAAGTTCAGAATATGAGTTAAACACATTATCAATTTCCAATTTTTGTACTGAATTTACTGCTTCTGCTATTTTTCCAGGATGAAATCCATTCCAGACCGGGAAATTAGTACTATCAGCTACATAATCTTTCGAAGTTAAAATAGTAGTATTCATTTTTGTATTAATAGATATTTGTTTGTAAATGAGTTAAAATGAGTTGAAAAAAGAAGATTAAGAGTTTGTTAAATCCTTTTTTTTTTACGCGAGAAATTTTTATTTTATATATTAACGAGTTTTTTTAAAAAAAAGGGGTATTTCAAAATATAAAAATTAGTGAGCACATGTTATATATACATCAAAAATTTTTTTTTTTAAATTGATGGCTCACTTGTTAATTAATATTACTATTACTATTATTGAGATTTTCATTTACGCTTCCGAATTCGCAGAAAAACATACCAATACTCGAAAATTATTATTTTTGTTCCTTTTTTTATTCTCCTCATAAATCATTTATTTTTCATGAGTTTGAGAATTAACAGTATTTAAATCATTCAAAGACAATGGATTTGATGATGGTGTTTTTAGACTTAGAGCAGGACTACTACACACAAATATAACAATCATGATTGTCTTAATATATTAATTTCTGATTGCATAATTTTTTGATAGAAAATGAAAAACAATTTTTATTTATTTATTTATTACATTGATAATTAATTGAAAACAAATTTTCTAATGATTTTTTTTACATACTTTTTTTTTACAAGGTATTTTTTTATTACATCAATTCTTTCAAGCCATTTTGGTTCAAGAGATTTAACCTTTTGTGCTCATCAATAACATGTCTATCTACTTTATGCAATCAAAATCAAAAGATAATATATCCAGAGAATCCCACAAAGATGCCTACTCATCGCCACATAGATCTGTCCTGTGGCGAACATATTTTCATCAATGGATACAGTTCAGTGTGGCAGTATAAGGCCATATGTCTTGTGAACAGCGAGTGCAAATGCATTCTGAATTGGGAATTGCTTCCTGGATGCTGGTATTCCGTTGATAGTGAATTATGTGATTTCTCTTTGAACATTTATCTTTACAATATTGTTGACTGTGGGGAAAACGACCTCAACATTATCATCATCAAATACCTTGGTGATTACTCCTATTGTCCCATTACATATTACAAGTTCAAACAATTTATTATTTAGGAACATTATGCGAGCACCCTCCTGCAATGTGATAGCCTTTGGAAGATTGGTATGGTGCTTAAAATTCAACCGACGATCAACTATTGTCAAACACTTCGTGGTTAAAGGCATCCACAGACAAAAATACAATTAACAATTTAGAACACATTGAATGTTCACCAATGATTTCGTAACAAACATGTTGATTGATCGGATAATGGTTCACAGGCATGATCTCGTGCGCCTGAATCAAGAATCAATAAATGTAGATCTCAAATTGAGGTGCATTGGTTGAAACTTAAATTTGTTGAACTTTTCATTAAAGCCAATGCAAAAACATGTTTTCTTGCCATTAAAAAAAAAAAAAAATGCTCAGAAGGTCCAAAATTATGTTTTATTGTCAATTTTCACAACAATTAGTTTAAAAGTTAGTTGTTAAGTAATTTCCGGCCAATTAAAATTATTATTATTAAAAAAAATTGTAATTTTGGTTTTTCTTGTCCGATGATTCTTGATGTTTTTGATAAGTGTACCAGTGCACAAAAAAATGGATAATAATAATAATTAGATACATGTGAAATTTCTAACATTCTAATACATGTAAATTATTTATTCAAATTTTGAAATTAATTTATGGTAATGGAAAAAAAGTAAACAGGTTTCACAGATCACAAACCTATCAATATAAATGGACTACGCTCCCTCCTCCCTCTCTTCTCTTCTCCTCTCTTCTCTACAAGTTTATAAGAAATTAAACCTTTACCGTACGACTCTAATATGCCAGAATAAAAAAAAAACTGCAGATCTAATTAAAATATGGAAACGATTTCAAAAATCTGCAACGAGTTTTGGCAAGCAATAGTGACACGACGAGCATTCAATCTTTATTTGTGTTAAAATAAAAAAAATAAATGTACACATAATATCAATCAAGGGCCTTTACATTTCTTTTAAGCCTTTTTGATTCAATCAATTTTTAATCTTTATATTCATTTACGACATTAACATCCAATCCACTTTTAAAAGTCAAAATCCAAAGACAAAATGTACAGGGGGCACTGAAGCAAACAACAGAGGTTCCTTGTGAATTGTTTTCAGATCAAAGTCTGTTGCTTTCAACATAAAAACTTTTATTTCCAAGTTAGTTAGTTTAGTTTAAAGAAAAATTTTTTTTTTGTAAGTGATCTTTGCATAATACTTGTGTATGATTAACTAACTGGAATCAAATAGAAATTTCCCCACAATAGATATTGTTGTGTTCCTTATTATTATATAATTTACTTGATAAATATTATTGATGATAAAATAAAATGGATGACATTCAATTATTGTTTTTGATATTTATTTTTTGATTATTACTTTTATTATTGTTCAAATAATCAAAGAAATCAATGTTGGCAAATATGAGACAAAAAGCAAATGAGTAAAGACTATTTGAAAACAAATTAGTTTATAAGTTTTATGCAAACACCAAAAGTTATTCATTAATTTGATTATTGAAAAAAACTAGGCTTATATTTTTACTAAATAAAAAAATTATTGATATTTACAAACACAAAGTGAATTGTTGATAAGAATAAAAATTTATTATAATTGGATCTTTTTTGTTTTCTTTATAGCAAAAAACATTGTTGTTATAAAATTTTTTATGAGGTTAATAATTATTTACCCGATTTGAAATCAATTCGAATTTTCCACCTAAAATCATCCGGGTAAATATCCACCCGGCGAGGTAAAATAGGATAAGCCTATTTTGTACAACTTCCCCTGTCTGAATGCGTTGGAATTTTCTTTACTCTATATACATATATATATAGTAAAATGAGGGCCGATAGAGGGGTCTCCACACTTTACCGATCAAATGAAACAACTTGTTGCGGCAATTGCGTGATAATCAACATATGAAATTGGATTGGTTTTAATTCTTGATCAGTTTTCTTTTAAATCATCCATAAAATTACTATAATTTTTAAAAAATAATGGTCAATTTTGGATCTCATGATCTCCTTACGCACGCCTTAATAAAACGAAGTCGATCATTTCAATCATTAATATTAATTGGTTATGATTTATCTTGACACACTTGAATAGCTAGTACATCCATCATTTGCAAAGTCCTATGATAAACTCATTATAATAGAATTTTCATTTGCTTATTGTAAAATAACCTTTCATACACGCATTCGTCTCCTGACGATCAATTGTTTCATAATGTTAATCATCAAAAAATTTTCATTCACTGGAAAAATTATTTATAGTAAATTTTAAATAAATTTTTGTTCAATTGACAACTTTCTTAAACTCTAAGATCCAATATTATTATTCGACACAAATAAAATAATATGGAGTCCAAAAGAAGTAACGCAAGGCACCAAACTCAAAATTTTTCCGAGGTAACAGAAAACTATCATCACAACAAAGTCAAAACTAAAATTGATTTTCTATCAGCAAGACATAAATATATATCCAGCTTAGAAACAACTACTGATAAGATAAATACTTATAGAAGTTTATGTTCCCTCTTACATGAACCAGATAAGTCAGGTTTTGATAGTTCTTTAGCGGACTTTGAAAGTGCAGCCAAGTATTATGAAATGGGAGGGAAAGAGTTAAAAGCAGCAAGAGAATTCAAAGATGCTATAGATTTTTTTGATAAGGCAATAGAATTGGGCAAAGAACAAGACTATGAAAATAATCACCTGTCTGATCTTTATTATCACAAAGCTATTTCTCAAAAAAACGCAGGTGAACGTGAAGAAGCATTGAGCTCGATCGAAGAAGCTATAAAATGTGGAGGAGATTATATAAAATTAAATTCCGCTAAAAAGGAAATATCAGGCGAGAACAAGCAAACATCAAAGCTTTTAGATAATGCAAATACATTTGGTAAAATTTCTACCAAAGTAAAACAAAACAATAGTTATCCTGATCATTCAGAAAATGTGGTTGGGAAGAATTCAGAGGGTCAAATAGGTGAATCAATCCCAATTGAAACAACAAATCCAACAAATATTGAAACAGAATCTCCATGTCTTGGCGCAGTCAACAGCCATAAACCTCCTGGACTCCCCATTAATAATTCTAAAGCTGAATCCGAATTAAATAGCGAAGAGGAAAAACAAGCTACTGTGGACAATTATCCTTCAATGTCAGAGATCGAAGTAAATATGGAACTATATGGATATTACGACGGCTTTATGCATACTTTTACCAGAGCTTACAATTTTGCTCAAACAGTTTTACATGACGGTGTAAAACTAAATAAAAGCGAAATTTTTATTTTTGCAGATGTTGGGCTCTGTCTAATTTTGTTTATTCCCATTGTCGGTAAAATTTTATCACAAATAGCTAACATTGGTTTGAATGCCATTAATAAAAATAGAATAATAAAAGCTTCTGAAAACATGTGTCGACTTGCTCCATCAATTGGTGAACTTGAATCAATGGTTAAAGATGTTATAATTGAAGTAATAAAAAACAGAGGAGAAACTATATTAAATTATAAGGAAGATACCCACAATATTAGTCGGATAAAATTTCTAAACCATCATTCAAGGAAATATTATCACAAAAGATATTCAACTGCTACACAAAAACTGGGCAATAGCGAAGCTAGTGAATTGCTCTCAAAATGGATTTTTAATGGAAACTTTTATGAGGGTAAAAAGTTGACACTTCCAAAAGAGAAAAAAGATAGGCTGATCGAATTGGCGATCGGTCTCACACCAATTATTACCAATAATGATGATAAATTGATTAGGTCCAAATTACCTCAGAAAGATTTGGAGAGGTTAAGAAGGCTGGCAATTGAAGGTAAATGGGAAAGAATGTTGTTTCAAAGAGGAGTTAAAGATTTTCTAAGCGACAGCGAGATAAAAAAAATGTTGGGAGAAAATACCACAGATGAAGAGGTTGAGAATGCAAGGATAATATTATTTGAAGAAATTAATAGAAGCATTTCAGATAGTCGTTATAAAAACCTTAAATGTTTTATAAAATTTTCAGAATCCTATCCGGACTTAGTATTAAAAATAGCAAGGAATTCTCCTCAACGTTTTGTCTCCGATTATATAGCTAGAGTTTATATAGGTAAAAACCACAACCTCAAAGAAAAATTGGTAGAAACCCTAAAAAATTACACTTTTTAAAAAAAAAAATTATAAATAATAATAGATTGATAATAATAGATTGACAATAATATAAAAATAATAATATAAATATTTTTCTCTTATTTTATTTTCAAATATATTTTTTTTCTGATAATTGTTTTTCAAATGTTAAAATGTAAAGTATAAAAAGAACAGTTAATCTAATCCTGTATCACAAAAGTAACTAGACGAGGGAAAAATTAATCCAAAGTAGAACTTGCCACGGTAGTTCAGTTACCAAGACAGAAAATCAAAAGTCTATTTCAAAACTTTGAGTGAATTTACTTGACAAGTTAATGTGGAAACCATCGAGAAGTGTATTTATTTCACTTTAACATTTTTTACAATCAAACAGGGATATCTATTGCATAAATTTTAATCCCTGTAATTTTACCTTAATGAGATCTTCTTATTGGTATTAGAGATTGGTACCATTAACCGTTTAACCGGTTAATATTAAAGAATTTTTAGGCGGTGCCAATCTTTACAATTCATGCACAATAATAATATTATTTAAAAAAAAAATTTTCTGCCACAAACATGCATATATTGTGCGATTAAGCACCATGGAATTTTTTTCACAGGTAAAAGGGTCTGGACAAGTTGGAAGGTTTTGGACAAGCGAAAGGCTTCGTTGACTTTCTCTCGAACCAGACCTCACCTGAATTGCAACCTCCTGGGCTTGATTTTTCAGATTCTTATTCGCAGAGCCATCTTTACCCTAAAAATAGAACTGTTGCTGGGAACTTTTTGGCTAACATACTCGTATCCAGGTCTGCGAGTGAATATTAGGATTCACGCAAGTGTCCTTGACAATGATGCAGTTTCGATAAACTTCAGGCCCATGCATTCACCCTGAAAATCCAGTTTATCATTATATCATCAGGGAACCAGGTCAGTGTAACCTCGTGTACATGATGAATGTGAGAATGACTGTAATTTTTAAACATTTGAAGTAATGTACTTCAACATTTGTAAATTTCCGATAATCCAATGTTGCATATTGAATGGTTTCATCATTAGTGTTTTCAAGTTTCCTAGGTGCCATTTTCGATAGTTGTGTTACCTTTGACACTTTCTTGTAATTGTTTATTATTAATAATGGGACACCGGAAAAGTACAGGGTACAGGAAATCATTTTTTAGGCAATCTTGCTCCATGTTTGATTACATTATAATGAGATATTTATAAAAAAGAAAAAAGGCATCAATACAAATAACTCTTGTATTTTTACAATAATTAAAGTGCCTGTTTGTAGAAATCATGTTTTATTTTTAGGTAAAATCAATTGTGGAGACAATATCTTTCATTAAAAATGTTTTTTTTTTTACTTCAATGACAAAATATATTGTTTAAATTTCAATACTTTTATTTAGTATTTTATGGATAATAAACAACAACATGGTCTCAGAGATCTCTAAATTGACTATTTCTTTGGTGGTGAAATATGAACGTTTAGAAAGAATTGCTGTCAACCCATTCCATTCTTCCTACCTACAATTATTCAGCAGTAACATTATTTTAAATATTGTTGTTGCACGAATCACAAATTTCTTTATTAAGATCACGTGTATGTGAAACTGTTCGCGTAGCGCAGCAACAGGAGTCTCTAGACCACGCGAACCACATATATAATATATAAACAAATTAAATTTTTTAAATAATAAGTTATTATTGTTATCATTGGTGAGGGTGGTAATAATAGTAGTGTTTTGTTGTGGCGATGTAGGAATAATAGAGATGAAAATTTTGTTAATAAATAAACGTGTATATATACACTACCTTAGCAAAAGTTTCGGTCGCCCTAAATACATCATTTACACAAAAACATACATAATAATTGTACAAAAAAAAAAAAAATCAACTTGTGGCATATGTTCTGGAGATCCTGCATATAAATTCCATATTTCTAGATTTTCCAGAGATTATTTTTGAAAAATAAAATTAATTTTGAGGATCAATTTTATTAACGCGTAAATTTTAAACAGATCTAAACCTCTTATTAATTTAACATTTCGCGGGCCATCCATTACTTGCAATACATGCCTCAATTCTACGAGGCATGCTTTCGATTAATTTCATGTACACATCTTCTGGAATTTTATCCCATTCTTCAATTAAAAGTTCCTCTAACTCCTTTAAGTTTTTTGCTGGCTAGGTTTTTTTCGAAAATGAGTCTCTAGTTCATTCCACAAATGTTCGATTGGATTTAGGTCAGGAGATTGTCTTGGCCATCCTTCCAGAAAAACCAAGAATTTTGCTAATTTTGACTTTTGAATTTCCATCTTTATAGAGACCAATAATTTGTCCACGCTCAACTTGATTTAAATTAATTTTTAAAATTTACCAAAATATTTAATAAATTCGTTTAAAAAAAAAGTATTCAAAATCATGTAAAAAATTTTTTTCCTGAAAATCAGATGATCTTAATTTATCAGATGTAAAAATGTTATCATGTAAGCTTTAGAGAAAAGATTAAAAAACTTATCGCGAATTTTTATTTTTTCAAAAATGATCAACTTTTTTATTTTTTACTGTTTAAGTTCTGGAAAATTTATAAATATGAACTTTATATGCAGGATCTCCAAAACATATGCCACAAGTTGATATAATTTTTTTGTACAATTATTATGTAGTTTTTGTGTAAATGATGTGTTTAGGGTGACCGAACCTTTTGCTAAGGTACTGTATGTTATATATATTGAAGTTTCATTTAATATACTATCATCATAATCATTGCCACAATCAAAGCTTCCTTCCTCCTCTTCGCCATCATTATGGTGTGTCAACATTTATAAATTTTGCATATACGTTTGTTTGTCATTTTTTTTTAAAAAAATAAAAAATTTCAATAGAAAGTTCTTTTTTAACGATGTCATCATAATGATTCGTGCAAATTAAACCATGTGTCTTTATTATCACATGAGCACAAAACTATTTTAAGAGGTTCTTTTTTTTGGTTTTACACATGTTTCAACATTTCTCAAGAAGAACGATAATTGGTGTGGTGCACACAACCTGCACTTGACTTTGTGTTTAGTTAGATAATTAGCTCTGTTGATAGGAAAGAATCATTTTCTAATTCTGTTTCATGACATATTATGTAGAATAAATCTTTTTCATGTTTATGTTTGTATCAATTCTAAACCGATGACCAAACTTTACATATTTTCAAGATGGGATTAAAGGAACATTTTTTATATGTTATGGATAATTTATCTATTTTGCCGATCAACTACTTTTTTTAGATATGTATATATTTATGTATTAGTATATATAAATATTTATTTTTATTATTATTTTTTTTTTTCAAAGTCATTTAATTTTTTCCTCCCTTTATAAGTCATACTATCATCATCAATCTACCAAATTCATCTCTAATACAAACAAATATATTTATATTAAAATATTTAAATATATTTTTCTTAATCCTCTACCTTCTTTTTTTTATATTCCATTAAAATAACTAACTACCTAAACATATCACAAACAACACTTAATTTTTTTGAGATTGTCCATCTATACAAAACAAAGATTATATTTTATAACGAAACGAAAATATACATCCAACTTTACCTATTTGAGGGATTCAAAGTTTACTATTTTTTTATAGTATAACAAATTAATAAATATATCAAGGGTCATCATATAATTTTGTATTTTTTTTTTAGAAAAAAAGATGGCTCAACTAATTCAACAACAACAACAAAAACAAAAACAACAACAACATCATCATCAACATCAACAACGTCAACATCATCATATGTCGTTAAAATTAACAGATTTACCAATAGAGATTTTATATTTAATAATTTTTTCTGTTGATAATGCTAAAGATCTACGCCACTTATCATCGGTAAATCGTTTATTTAAAGCTTTATCAGGACCACATACGATCACTGCGCAACTATGGTTTAAGAGATATAGTCGTGATATACCAGAAGAAGATCTTTTGAAAGTTGCAAATGAATGGAAATTCCCATTGGAGACAGAGTATGCAAAAAGTCTTATTACCATCAATGCTCCACCCGAACCACCAGGTTTGTCAGCAGATCCACCAGGTCCAAAAAGAGCTTTACGTCGTCAAAAACGAGTTTTACACATAGTGGAAAGATTTAGTTTATTTCTACATAACATGTTGGCCGTCAATTATTATTATAGTCATGATTGGGACAAATTACAAAAAGTGGCAGATGATGTCGAGCAGTATCTTGAGGATTTGGGTTGGGTGCAGTTTTATCGTGGCCAGATGGATCGAGGAATCGATTCAATAATGGTGTCAACTGTTCAAGCTGATCAAGAATTTGAAGCAATAGCGTTTGAAGATTTTACTAGAAAATTAAGAACTGATATAGCGGCTGTTTCCACCATAAAAACTTCGTCTTCTAGTAATAATAGCAATAATTTTGATGATGATGATGACAATGATGATGATGATGATGATGATGGTGACGATATTATTGATAATAATGATGATAATGATGGTACAAATAGTGCTAGAAATGATAGTATAGATGTTATTGATAATAATGATAACGATAGTGCTATTAGTAGTAGCAGCAGCAGCAGCAGCAGCAGTAGTAGTAGTGTTGATAATACAATAGACACTGCTGACACCTTCACCCATAAAATTACGGAAAATAAAATTAAATATAATATTACTGACAATAATATTACAGACGTTACCACCACCACAGACAATGAAATTACATATCATAAAATCACAAGTAACAATATCATTGACATCACGGACAACAATATTACAGACACTTCTACCACCACCACCACCACCACCACAAATAATATTACAGACAATAATAGCAGTAGTGGCGGTGATAATAATAATAATGGTAATAGTAGCAGTAGTATCAGTAGTATCAGTAGCAGTAGTATCAGTAGCAGTAGCATTAGTAGCAGTAGCAGTGCTACTAGTGTCAGTAGTAATGATATCATAAATAGTAATAGGAATAGTGAAATATTTGCATCTCCAGAACCAGTGTATTTAAGATGGACAAGTCTCATTCAAGATCAACTTAATTTCTTTTGCTTACAACAATATATAATGGATAAATTTAAACCACCTTCTAAATGGCAGCTTGCTGAATATTTATCAGTGGTACTATTTGGCAACATTTAGACCACATATCATATATAAGAAGAACAAATATATATACGCGTCTTAATGATAGATAAATCAAGGAAGAAAGGATTATACACCTTTTTCTCCCTTCGTTTTATTCAATTCGTTTTTATTAATATATATATATATATACTATTACTATTATCATTTATAAATCCAATTCTTCCTTTTTTTTTCTTTTACTTTTTAAAAACCCCTCAAAATTAGAGTGTATATTATATATTTTTGACTGACTAATGAAATGAATGAACTATTATATATTGTTTTCGTGGAGGATTCGAAAAAATTAATTTTCACCACCATAATTTTCATAATCATTGCCAACAACAACACACTAGCGTTGATACCAAATCATAGTCATTAGACAAAAACCCTCATCTAAATAAAAACAAAAAAAAAAAATCTTTTTATGTATTAATGATTATTATTATTTTTTAGAATTATATTTTTTTTTTTTTGTAAATAATTTTTTTGATTTTCATAATAATAATCATAATCATTATATAACATTATATTTTTATTTTCTTTGCAAATGTTTTTATTTCTATTTTCAAAGCTTATTTTTTAATATATATACATTCATTTTTTAAATAAAAAAAAAAACAAAAAATTATATATATGATTTCATAATTGCCTTTTACTATAATCGCGTAAAAATTATGCTGTTGCAGTCACGTTATGATAGACGTCACGATAAATTTTTTATTTTATTTGATAATAATAGCAGTAATAACAAATTATAATAATGATGATGGTAAGTAATAATAATAATAATAATAATAATAATAATAATAATAATAATAGTGATGATGATGGCAAGTAATAATAATATTAATAGTAATAAATATTAAAGAAAAATATTAGATAATAAAGATAATAATAATTAATATTAATTAATAATAATAATAAATTAAAAAATTTATAATAAAAAAATTATTTTTAAATTGCAGAATATTTTTTTATTATTTTTTCTACTGCCATTTTTAAAGATGACCAAGCGAACACTTTGACATCTTTTTTGATGTTTCTTGGCTTTGGATTGTCAAATCTCATTAATTTCCTGTATAGATTATCGCCTTTTTTGTTTTTGCCAACTGTTATCGGTTTGAAGATTTCCAAATTCCTTCTGACTCTATTTTTTTCTTCTTGAGTGAACTTGATACCCGTCACACATTCGATCAAGTAGATACAATCAACCGACGTCACATAAAACTCTTTTAGTTCCTCGCACCAAACACACGACACAAAGATTCCATTTCTGTTACGTTGGTTTTGACTCACGACTTCAAAGAAGACATCCACGTCTTGTTGATAGACACACCGACGGAATTGCACAACTCTACGACCAGCTTTATAGTCACACGCTCTCCAATCAGCCAACACGGAATCAAAGTCACCGTGAATATTGATGTTTATGTTGCTCAAGATTTCTGAAATTTCAGATCTGTTCAACTCAATTCTGTTATCGTCGTTTTTGCTTTTTCTTCTTCTCTTACGTGGTGACATGCTGGTGTCGTTACTTGGAACAATAGAAGGTTCCATGATAGTCATCGAACTGACCAAACCATCCAACGCATTATAAATTAGGATTTGATTATAAATTTGTTCTAGTAAAAATAGAAATAAAACAATTAAAAAACGTCACATATATATATATATACACATATCATATCATATACACACATATATACACATATATTTATTATAGTTATACCTATTTGACTTGGATGTAATGAATTGTGAGAAGGATTAGGTGATGTTGGTGATATTGGTGTAACGTGACTTACAAAAGTATAGTTGGTAGTCATAATGTGTGAAGAAGATTGAATAAATAAAATTAACTGTATATATGAAAATTTATTTCCTATTATGTTTAATGTTAAATAACAACAACAATAATAAATAGATTAATATTTATAATTTTTTTTTGTTCGTAAATAAATAAAATAAAATAAATCAATCAATCGATTTCGACATATATATAAAATTTGAATTTTGTATTTTTCACGTATATTCTTATTTTTTGACATTTCCAAACGAAAATTTCATTGTATTATTGGTATAAAACTGCATATAAATCGGTCTAATAAAAGAAAAATTTCCAAATACGATAAAGTATATGAAATGTCACGTGACCAGATGGAGATTCATATCCACTTTTGTCAAATAGGATGAAAGCAACACATAGTTTTGCTATTTTTTAATAATAAATGTTGGTTTAAATAATTAATAATAATTAATGAAGGAAAATTTACCTTGTAAAAAAAAAGCGTTTAAAAAAGAAAAAATAAAAAGAAAATAAAAGAAAAGGAAAAAAGGATTTTTTGGAAATATTTAAATACGAATTCATCAAAATGAGACTTTACTAAACTCGACATCTATAATTTAATAAAATATGATATTTATGTTATAGAAATTAATTTTATCACAATAACAATCAATAATTATTATGTTATATGTTTTTATTTATTATGTAATTAATTAATTACATTATGTCAATTATTGATTGATTAACCAGTTGTTAGAGTTCCCGTTCCATTAGGGCATATTTTAAAATTCATTCATTATTTTATTATTGATTCATTGCATATCTGATAAAAACATCAAAGATAAATATTGGAAAATATTAAAATATTAAAAAAAAAAAAACGAAAATATAAAATCAACAAACAATTTGGCATAGACTTGGTATATGATTCGCCGGGATGATTTAGGATAGATTTGACGATTTAACATAAATTTAGCACCAACAGTCATTCATTTGATTTGATTCATTATCTATCTCCGTAAACATATCATTAACATAGTCGATCAACGATCAGCCATTATCAATTATCAAAAAAAAAAATAGTTCTCTAACACGGACCATAATCATCTAATCGATCTACTACATAATTAAGGTTTCATTTATGCAAATTCACATTATTGTTGTTGTTGTTATTATTCAAATTTTAATTAATTAATTCTTGGGAGAACTGCATTAACATCGAATCATCTATACAATATTCATTATACATACATAATCCTAGCTAACAAACACACTACCGAATATGACCAAATTAAAACAACTATCATGCATGCATGATAAGAAACTTCAAGAACCTATTCAAGAAAAAACCACCCGATGCTTCTTTTAGTTTAATGAATATCACACATACAATATATGTCGCATCACTTTATCATAAATATAATTGGTACCCAACCAAACAAGTTGATAATCAGGTTTTTAAAAATATATTTTTTCCCTGAATTTTTTATGTGCCCAAGAATAATTCTATAATACACAGAAGAAACCTTCAATAAAAGACAAAAATAATTATTAAATTTAATTATTTAATTAACTGTTAAATTTATTATTAATTTAATTGTCCGATTGTTGTCAATTGCGTTAATTACATTGTCCGAATATTTTCCTTAAAAATAAATTCATTGTATAATATTAGTTTAATTAAATACGAGTTTCTAGAACTTCAGGAAATAAACTTCAGATGATGTAATTAAGATGTAACCTATTTGTGTTCCATGTGAAAAAAATATATTATTTTTAAAATCATTTTAAACATAGAAGTTTCTATAAGCTTTTAGTATTTTTTTATTTTTTTTAACTCATCAACTAACTATTTACCAAATTATTGGGACATACAATATATAATAAAATATCTCCACATAATAAATCCAAATTTTAAACAATGTAAATAATAATGATTGGTGTTCTGCTGTAAGGGCAAAAATTTGCTCGTTTTCGATTTCGATCGGCATTAAACATATATTATAAATAATAGAAATTCCGATACGTGTAACCAATATTTTTTAAAATATATTTTTGATATTCATATTGATAGAGGTTCTCTATATAAAACTATAGTTATTAAAAACTGATATTGATTACCTTTATAAACTTAATAAGTGGTTGAGAGGATGGAAAATTTTTTTATAAGCATTAAAGAAAAAATAATAATATGATGTGGCAGGAGACATCAGTCGGTCGTAATGACTAAAAAAGAATAATTAATTCCATTGCGGTGATTTAGTTGATAAACGTGAGATTTTTTTAATAACTTCCTAATTTTTTTCTGGAATAAATCTGTCAAATTTGATGCGAGCATTAGTAGTACTTTCGACTAATTAATACATACAAGTAAATTCGTAACACATGCGAATATTCTGTTTTTAAATTCTTCAGATAATCCGATTAATCATATCCAAGTAGTAGAGCATCTAGTGAAAAAATATAAAGTGCATGGAAGGACTAAAGAGATAGTAGTTTTACCAGGAATTGTTTTTAATAATGATAATGATGAATATATCGGATTTGTCAAGTGAATGCATCAATTTCTCTAGGCCATCCAGTGGGTATATGTAATAAACAATGTCCAAATGTAGAAATCGCTATCAATTCGATCAGTCATTAGTAAATAGTTCTCTACAAATCGGTTACACAGGATATACGGGGAGTATGCATACAATACATACAATACTAATTATTGTAAAAGTAAATTAATCTACCAGTGTGATTATCGATTATCAGTTATTAATTATTTTACATTTATTAATATTAACATTAATCTTAATTTATCCATTTAAAATTATGAAAATATTTCTCGTATTGAGATAATTCTGTCAAGGTGCAGCTTCAATATTACTATCACTATTAACATTAACTGTAATAATTTCAATATTACTAGTGTTAACGTCTACAACCTCATTATTAACAATACTTTTGCTATCTTCATCAATAACTTCATTATTAACGATATGTTTCCTTTTTTTATATCTTTTTACAAATAAAATAAGCATGGCAATCAAAATGATGGTAAACACTATAGCTGTGACTGATCCAATTATTACAGCCACTTTATTATTTGGATCATTAGGATTTTCGGGTGGTGATTGACTA